TAGCAACTAAATGAAGGTACGTAGGTGCTTGCATAAATTAGCTAACTTGTTGAACAACAAAGGAAATACCAGGTCGAGTGATAGTGAGATAATTTAGACTCCCTACTAGTTGCCTATATAAAGAGGGATTAGATAGAAAATCACCCTCATCACGATGATATTTAACATTCATTTCCAAGGGAGTATCAACTGAATGACCTTCTTGAAGACCAAACAAAGCAATTAACTCTTGGATGTATTTATGCTGATGTAGAAAAATAATGTAAAGGACCTAAGTCCTTCATGAAAAGAAGATTGAAGATGTTATTAAAGCTGAAAAATCAATGCAGTGTCAGCCCCTATAATAATGATATCATCAATATATACCAAGAGCAAGATGATTCCTTAAGTAGTCTTGCAGGAACAAAGAGGAATCATACTAACTCTGGATAAAGAAGAAGCCAAGAAGCGTGAAGCGAAACTTATCAAACCAAACATGCCGGGCTTGTTTTAGACCCTAGTGTAAACTCCAGGAAAATAAATAAATAAAAGTGAAGAAATTCATGCATATGGTTAAATAAAAACAGGAATTAGAAATTTTTGAAAATAAATTTTTGAGTAAAATAATTCGAGATAGTATAATAAACCTGATACTGTTAAGGGTTGGATTTAATTGAAGAGAATAATACACTTAAAGGAAATGGGGCCTAAATGCAAATAAAGAAAATTATAGAGTATAAATATTCTCTCCTTACCAAAAATCTATAGGAACCATAAGGAAAGAAAATATGGAGTTTTGTATCTATTCTTGTAAAATTAAAAGAGAAACACTAAAATTTCAAGAACCCATCCAAGATTAAGGGTTTATAGATAGGATAAACACTTGTGTGCAATGGATTAACAAGAAAATTGAACATGAAGAAAAGAAATGAGGGAGTTGAAAATCTTTAACTGGTTGAAGATCAAAATCTTAATTTATATCGGGTAAGGTGTTTTAAACATAATCTTAAAAATTCATTTCAAATTTGATAATGAATTGATTCCTTGATATTGAATTATATGTTAGGGTTCTTAAACATGAATTAGAAAAAAAGTTTTTGTTGTTAAAATTAAGTTAATTCATGTGTAGTATGTAGTTTATGAAATATTGTGTGAAGGGAAGGGGGTGACGAATCTGGACAGACTCATCTCCTGACTTTTGATAAGATTTTGGGTAGGAAGATAAGGAAATTAGAATCGGGTTCCTTCATAGAAATTATAGATTTGGATGTTAGCTAACCAAGAAAATTGGTCTTGCTCAATTTGGAGATGTAGAACTCCAATTATGGGTTACCAACTGAGACTAAGTCGTGATTGATTCTATAAGGCAGCAGGACTGATAAGTCATGATTGATTCTATAAGGCAGCAGGACTGATTAGTTGATGAGCAATGTTGACTATCTTAGAGGTAGAACTAGGTTCTCCTTCCTTCAAAGAACTTATAGCTTCGTGTCTTAACTTTTTAACGAGATCAATCTTATTTAAAATAAAGTTTTAGAACTCTAGATATAGTTAAAAATCTAATGAGTGTTCAGATAGTAACAGTTCAATATTTAGACAGTAATGGTTGGATAGTAATGGTTGGACAGTAATAGTTGGATAGTAACAGTTTAATGTCTAAACAATAACGGTTGGATAGTAACAATTGAATAGTAATAGTAGACTTTCACATGAATACTATATGTAAGAATACAGTTGGATAGTAATGGTTGGACAATAATAGTTGGATAGTAACAGTTTAATGTCTAAACAATAACGGTTGGATAGTAACAATTGAATAGTAATAGTAGACTTTCACATGAATACTATATGTAAGAATATAAAAGAATTAAATCATACAAACACATGCACATTGAAATACTAACTCTAAAAATATACATGATATATATATGTATGGTATTATAAGGAAATAAACATGCATAGAAAGTCATATATGAGTAATGAATAAAGACGGATTCTCTATAATATTGGCTTGAAGTAATCATAACAAAAAAACTTCCTTGTGATTCAGAAGGAGCAATCAAGATTGGATCTTCTATTAGAGGAGATCACGAGACAGGCAGAGCAAGTGTGTGATTTTCCCTCCTATTTGCACTTATACAATTTAAAATTCTTCTAGTGAATGTAATTACTATAAATATCATGTTCAATGTAAATAAAGTTTATTGTATTTACAAGATTAGCTTCAGCTAATGACATTCGTACAAGATTGCTGGGAAATGAATTACAAAATTAGTTTCGACTAATGACATCTATGATAGGATTGTTGGGAGATGAATTACAAGATTATCTTCGACTAATGCATCCGTGATAAGATTTTCGAAAAATGAATTACAAGATTATGTAGTTTAGAACTCTACTTTATCAAGCTTACACAAATATTTAACTTAAGCAAAAAAGCTTATACTTTTGTGTAAACCTTAATGTATTTATAAAAGTTTACCTTAGCATGTAGTACTTTAGTTATCTTATAATTAACACTTTTGAAATGTTTAAGAACACTTATTATGTTGTAAAAGCTTTTTTTGTATGTTAGTATTACGTTTTCTTTTAAATTTTATTATATGATATGTGGGCTATATTCATATTAAACTTACTTATAGGATATAAATATAACACACACACATACACATATACAAGTGTGTGTGTGTGAATTATATGATTTGAATTATGATAATTGATATAAGGTCCGAAATTATGAGACTTTATGATGATTGATTGATTGAGTAAATTGATAGTAGTCAATAACTTGGAATTTTCTAAATACAAACGAAACTTTGCTGAATTTCTGATAGATTTCAAAAAAAAAATTTACCCTTAAATTAAGAGCACATGTTGGGATCTTTTAACATTGATCAAGTTGTATAGTCGGACTCTTACAATAGAGAGATCATTTTAGCTTGCAAACATCAGCAGATGCTGTAGAAAAGAACCCTAGTGGTGGAGTCATATATATCTCTTCCTGAAGATCTCCATGCAAAAAAGCATTCTTAAGATCCATCTGTCGCAATGACTAGCCCTTAGAAACAGCAATGGCTATAATAAGTTGCACAATTGTTATTTTTGCCACAAGTGCAAAGGTTTTTTCATAGTTTATGCTATACTCCTGATGATTACCGAATGCCACCAACCTTGCTTTATATCTGTCAAATGAGCCATTAGACTGCAACTTAATGGAATATATATATTTACAACTAATAAGCTTAACACCAGTAGGACATGGAATAATATCCCAAGTATGATTCTCCTTAAGAGCCTAAAGTTCTTCTTGCATTACTTTTTTTCAACATACATGTTTAGTTGCCTAAGAATAAGAGGTGGGAACTATAGTATCATTTAAATAGTAGAGAAAATATATTGATCAAGAGGATGACAAATGCGGGAAGATCACCGAAGAGCAACTAGAGCAGGAACTGAATCATAAAGGATTTGTAAGCTTAGTAATAGCATCATAACATAAAAGACCTTTTTTACTAGTGTTATAACCTATAAAAGCACACCTTGCTGACTGAGCTGTAAGCTTGTAACACTCATGAGAAGGCAAGGGAAACATAACCAAATATATGTAAATTATGGTAGTCAGGATGCATACCGCAAAAGATGATAGTAAGGATAATTAAAATTCAATTGTTGAGAGGGTAGACGAGTGGTAGTCAGGATGCATGCCGCAAAACATGATAGTAAGGAGAATTAAAATTCAATTGTTATGGTAGTCAGGATGCATACCGCAAAAGATGATAGTAAGGATAATTAAAATTCAATTGTTGAGAGGGTAGACGATTAATCAAATAAACTGCAATAGATAAAGTTTCCATCTAAAATTTAGGTGAAACTGAAAACTCTAAAAGTAATGTACGAACCATATCCAGCAAGTGATGATTTTTATGTTTAGCCACCCCATTCTATTGAGGGGTATAAGGACATGATCATGAAAAAATGATATCTTTTTATTGCAGGAGAGCCTGAAATTCATGTGAAATATATTCACCACCATTATCAAACTGGAACACCTTAATGCAGGTTGAGGATTGTGTCTCAATATAAGCTAGAAAGGTTTGGAAAGTAGTGAAAACCTCAACTTTGGTGTGTAGAAAACAGACCTAAGTAAAACGATTATAATCATCAATGAAGGTCACAAAATATTTGTACTATACACGTGAAATAATGGGAGCAATGCCCTAAACATCAGAGTGTATAATCTCAAAACATATATTAGCATGACTGTCAAAAGCAAGGAAAGGTAAAGTTTTACGTTTTCCTAGTTTGCAAGTAGAACAATCAAAAGACAAGTTATGAGTAAAACCCTTATTTTTGTGACCAAGAAAACCACGCTTCATTAAATTAGACAAAATAACATTATTTGGATGGCCCAATCATTTATGCCAATCTGATGCCTTATTTTCAACAATAACAGAAGCTAAAGACAAAACTCTAGGAATAGTAAATTACATCATAAATAATCTTTTCACTTTAGGCCCCCTCGTAATTACCTTATCGGATACTTTATCCAGCACAAGAGAACCATTACGAGAGAGATGCAAATCCAAGTTATTATCCACCATTTGTCCAATAGAAATTAAATTAGCATACAGCCCAAGAGAAACAAATATATGAGAACAAAAAGGTCCAATATCACTAATAACTATAATTGGAAGATTATTACCATTAGCAATCTGAATATTTTGTGTGCCCCTATACTCTCAAAGATTACATAACAAATCAAATAAGCCAATTGATTAGTATTTAAAAGTGTATTTTTATCATGGTTTTATATCATCATTTTGCACTTGAAGTATCAATAACTCCTTAACTAAAATATGTTTTATAATAATGTATCTAATAAGATAAGATACCTATAATTTGTGGTAAATATCTATTTTTAATGAGGAGTTATTGATATTTCAAGTGCAAAATGATGATATAAAACCATGATAAAAATGCACTTTTAAGTATTAATCAATAATCTCAAAACATATATTAGCATGACTGTCAAAAGCAAGGAAAGGTAAAGTTTTATGTTTTCCTAGTTTGCAAGTAGAACAATCAAAAGACAAGTTATGAGTAAAACCTTTATTTTTGTGACCAAGAAAACCACGCTTCATTAAATTAGACAAAATAACATTATTTGGATGGCCCAATCATTTATGCCAATCTGATGCCTTATTTTCAACAATAACAGAAGCTAAAGACAAAACTCTAGGAATAGTAAATTACATCATAAATAATCTTTTCACTTTAGGCCCCCTCGTAATTACCTTATCGGATACTTTATCCAGCACAAGAGAACCATTACGAGAGAGATGCAAATCCAAGTTATTATCCACCATTTTTCCAATAGAAATTAAATTAGCATACAGCCCAAGAGAAACAAATATATGAGAACAAAAAGGTCCAATATCACTAATAACTATAATTGGAAGATTATTACCATTAGCAATCTGAATATTTTGTGTGCCCCTATACTCTCAAAGATTACATAAAAAATCAGATAAGCCAATCATATGATTGGATGTTCTAGAATCAACAATCCAAGAAGAAGAGAATGATTGGATATTCTAGAATCAACAATCCAAGAAGAAGAGATATTATTACCTTAACCCTGAAGTCCAAACGTAGAGAATACAATGATAATGATTTGTTGTACCATTTCTAAAGTGATAGTGGTTATGGAAGTAGAACCAGGAATCTGATGGTTTACAACAGCAGCTTGGAAAGCCTGTGCTCTCTGATTTTTTAGACGTGTAAGACATTCTTTAACAATGTGTCCATTCTGCTTATAATAACTGTAGAATTTCTTATCATAGTTACGGGCAATATGCCTATACTCCTTGCAGTTGTAGTATTGTATGGTTCCTTTATCTCGATTCTTCCCTTAAGTAGCATAAGCAACATTGACAACCTCAGATGTCTCTTTGGATTCACCTATTACAAATTGTATAGCCATTCTTTGTTCTTCACACAATAATTCACCTAGACAGACATCCAAAGAAGGAACTGGATCTCTATTCAGCAACCCAGCCTAGACAATCTCAAATTCTAGTCTTAGTTTCATCAAAAACTGATCTCACTTGTTAACTTCATAAACCGCTTGAAGACTAGGTAAGGCCTCTTTAGACACCTTAGAATAGATAATACCAGAATATTCATTCCATAGATTAACAAAACTAGAATAATATTACTCAATCGACAGATTACTTTGACTGAAATTGTTGATCTTGAGTTCAAGTTGAAAACATCTTGTTGTATTATCTTGATGATATATATATTTTAGATAATCTCACATCTCTCTAGCTATACCAAAGGAGTGTAAATTATTCACCATATGACCTTCAATAGATGTTAAACTCCAAGAAATAATTTGAGTATCATTTGTCTCCTAGACTAAATTCTGCATCATTTGCAAAAGTAGAAGAAGTCCCATCAATATGCCTCTAAAGCTCTTTTCCTTTCAAAAATATCCTAAAATGAAATTCCTATACTGCATAGTTCTTATATAGAACTATATGTAAATTTGATACTCATAGTTTCTATAGATATTCTTAAAAAAAAAAATCAAAACTAAAAATCTTAAAACAAGACTATTAACTAAAAATAAAATAAAGTTATTAATTAAAAATTTAATTACCCCAAAATAAAAAAACATATTAGAAGGTTACATAACCTTCTTCTAATACCATAACAAATTTGAGTAAATAGATAAATGTTATTTTCATGAGGATTCTTTTTTTTTTATTAAATAAGAGTTGTTATACAATTTATTATTGTATAATTTATTTTGATAAGAAAATATAAACAGCTAATTCATTAATTGTTTATATTTTAATATAAATAAAAAAAAATTAATACATTAATTATGATAAAATAAATTTTATATATAATTTAATACATTAATTATGATAAAATAAATTTTATAATTACAGCTATAATTTCTGTAATTTTGATTTATAATTTGTGGCACTAATAGCTATGATTACTTTGCTGACAAGGTTAATATTGACCGTGGCGAACACCGGTTGGCAACTGTGCGCATGTATCTTACAGATGTTGAAGAGGGTGGTGAAACAGTGTTCCCTTCAGCTGAGGTCAGTTCACATGCCTTATTCTTTCTCATTGTAGATATGCTTGTGCTGTTCCATTTTGCAAGGACATCAGCTTTTATGGTGCTAGAGAATTTGTTTTAGTGTCAAAAACCTTCCAGATCAGGCTGTCTGCATGTGGTACATGCTGATAGGCCTAGCACATCTCTTGGGATGGCTACAACATTGGTTGTATTCGCTTTGACCTAAGTGTGCAATCACTTCTCTAAAATTGAAATTAGTAGCATTGAGAAAGGGAGGCGGACAGAATACTCTAAAAGAAGAATTAGTTCAAGATTTTTGAAGAATAATTTGCAATCAGGAGCCTCCACGTCGTAAAGCTTATGTTAGTCACGAAGACGGTTCTGAATGTGCAAGAAACGGAATTGCAGGTGAGCCACCACATAGATTACAATGGTTTTATAAATTGTATTCCTTGAGTTGCATTTGCACTCAGTTAATGTGTTTTTGTTTTTTGGTCTTCTTATCTGCACCATGGAAATACTCAGTGAAACCACGTAGAGGGGATGCACTTCTTTTCTTCAGTCTACATCCAACTGCTGTTCCAGACATAAGCAGCCTTCACGCAGGGTGTCCTGTGATTGAAGGTGAGAAATGGTCTGCCACAAAGTGGATTCATGTGGACTCATCGGACAAGAACGCAGAAGCTGGTGGGAAATGCACTGATCAGAATGAAAGTTGTGAGGGGTGGGCAGCCCTTGGAGAACGCACCAAAAACACCGAGTACACGGTTGGGTCACTGGACCTTCCTGGACATTGTAGGAGGAGTTGTAAGGCATGTTAAGGATATGCCTTCCACGCTCCTTGTAGGTTTCCTTATGGTTGGTTGTTGGGGGGGCTGTACTTGGTTTTTCTTTCAATTACAATCCTGTAGACATGGCTGAAAATGATCCATTTTGTATTTTGCTAGTTGTAATCACGTCTTAATGGTTTACAGCCACTTGTATTTTCCTCTCATTGTGATACAGCCAGCTTTCATGAAATGAATGAAATACAGAAAATGCATTTAGTATATGCGCTTCTATAGTTCTTTGCTTCCTGTTTTTTGCCCTTTTTGAAGCTTAAGATTTTAACGGGTGCTTGAGAGAAAAAGGTGTTTCGATTTGGAAGAAGTGAAATATCCTCACTGTCTGTCTCCCTTTCGTTGGATTCTTATTCATTTTCAACAAATATTAATGTATCTATCTGTCCCATTGGTGAATCTTTTCTTGAGAAGTGACAATTCAGTCTTGAAAAGACCAGTTTCGTGCTCAAGTGAAATGAGTTTCAGACTTGAGAAGATGATGCTTTTCTTTCAGTGAAACGAAAAGATTTGGCAGTCTGAAGTAATGGAATGACTATCATGTCTTATCACTTGAGAAGATGATGCTTTTCTTTCAGTGAAACGAAAAGATTTGGCAGTCTGAAGTACTGGAATGACTATCATGTCTTATCACATGAGAAGAATCTCCGCTGCAAAATCTTCAACGATATCTACGAATCATGAAAAGAGAAGAATATTAGCCATTGACCAAACACACACCACACCTCGTTTGCCCTAAAAAGAGAGAGAATAAAACTAGTAAGGATTCTCTCTCCACGTTCATGGTCGGTGTCTGTCACACCTCACAGGTCACAAGCAAAGCAAGCCAGACCGTCTCCACAACCTCCAAGATTTTTTTTATTTTTTTATTTTTAAATTCGACAACAAAGAGTATTTTTTTTATATATTAATTGAGATTATTCCTAGAAAGATTTGAAAGAAGAAATAAAACGGGCTTTAGCCTCTGCTGAGAGGGGAGCATGTCTTTTGTCCAGCTGTCCCTTCTGAGATGATGAAATTAAAAAGGAGGAATTGATTAGAGGGTTCAAACATGAAACAGCTGTTGGCTCGTATAGTGTAGTGTTGTTTTTGAAAATATTTTTTATTTAAAAAAAATATATTAAAAATAACTTTTTTAAAATTGACTCGTATATTGTAGTGTTGTTTTTAAAAATATTTTTTATTTAAAAAAAAATATTAATAATAATGTTTTATTTTAAAAAAGTTATTTTTAAAATTATTATATTAAAATGATTTTGAAACATTAAAAAATTATTAATTCAAAATAAAAAATTTAAATTTTAAAAAAATATTTTTAAAATACAATGTCAAACACATATAAATGGAGATGATATTATTTTTTTATTGTTTTTATAATAAATTCATTATTATTTTTCTCTATTTTGCAAATAAAAATAATACGGTTCCTTCTTTTTTCTATTAATTATAAAACTCAATAAATAATTTAATATGATGGTGGTGTCTTAGGTAAGATATTTAGATAACTCTAAAATTAAAAAAAAATAAAAAATTAATTGAATTAAAAACCTGAATTATCTAAAATTAAAAAAATTAATTGAATTAAAAACCTGAATTCAAACTCAAGCTAAACTCTTTGGTCATTTTTGTTCCATCTTTCTCCTTTACGGGGATTTCCAGCATGCATGTTCTTCAAATTAACAATCTTGGAAGAACTATGTGCCGTTAGATTTTTCATAATTAGAAGAAGAAGAAAAGGATAGTGGTGTATTTATAATGGATTTTGAAGGGTCAATGCAGGCTAAAAAACCCCCTTGCTTCATCATGTTTCCAATTCTTATTAAAAAAAACTCCTTGCTTCGAGGTGGACAAAAGACAGACCGTTCGTTCAAGGAAAAAACAAATAGGAAAAACAGGTTGTAATGACAGGACATGTCCCGTGACACCTCTTTTGTTTTCTATAATTTAAAGCATTTTTTTATTAAAATAATTTTTTTATTTTTTTAAATTTAATTTTAATATTAAAATATCAAAACAATTTAAAAACATTAAATTAAATTTGGTGGTGGTTACTTGATGCTAATTGTGATAATTGCTTCCGTTTTGCTTGCTGCACTTTGGTTAAAACATTTTCAAAAACTATGTAAAAAAAGCCCAGATCGTGGTTAAAATAAATTAATTAATTAGATTTAAGAGTTACAATTTGTTATCAAGACCCCTTTTTGTTTATAATAAAAAAAAAATATTTATTTTCTTAGGGTTCCAGCGGGTGATTTGAAGATATCTAATGACTTATTTAATGTTACAAATCAATCTCAACTTTTACTTTTCGTTAGCTTTTACTTATTTTTTAATTAACACTGGCAAATGCTCAATGAGAAAGTGCCCAAACATGTTCTTGAACTTGGTTTGATAAACTTGGAATATGCTTGACCTCCACTATAGCTATTGTGTTGGGCTACGTTGCATTATAAGATTAAACACATTAAATTGTTTCGAAATAAATTATAAGCAGTTGTTCGGAAAATTATTTTAAAGACATCATTAATGAGTATATTTAAAGTTAAATTAAAAATGGAACCCGATCATTTTTTAAGTTAAAACTATTCTTGATATGTTAAAATAATTTATGAATAAATAAAAAATAATCTTAAATAATCTTGATTTGTATTTTTGTTTTTTTCAGAAACTTGAAAACCCTCTAAATTTAATGAGAATGTAAATAATTAAGATAAAATATTAAAAACACCTAAATTTTTAAAACAAAAAAACATCCAAGCAACCTAAACTTTGAGCCCTGAATCACATGCATGCATACTGTCCAGCTTGAGCATAAGTTTGGATTTGAATTTAGTGTAAAATGATTTGTTGGGTTATCAAAGTTTTTTTTTATCAATTTTATTTTAAAAGCTAGTATAGGATTTATGATTATTTGATCTATAAAAAAATATTTTTTTATTAATTTATTAGTATGTTTAGATTATGAACAAAGTCACACACTATTACTCGACTCGAACTTTATTTGAATTTTGAGTTTAGTGTAGTATAATATTTTGGGTTATAAATTTTTTTTATTTTTTAATCTTTTTCTTTGGACTTAGGTTATTTTATAGTTTTTGGCTCATAAAGAGTTATTTTTTGCCAACCTATTAGTATATTCAGATAAAAATCTAATCAATTTTTTTAGTAACCTGACTAGTATTTTCTACTAAAAATATTTTGATTTAAAATTAAAATTGTCATATTTAATTTTTGTTTATGAAAAGTAGTCAAAGTATAAAATAGAATAAGCTTTTGTTTCCATCCATTGTAAAAGAAGTTGAAAGAAGAGTTTTTTATACTATTTTTGTATATTATTCAAACTCTTGTCCATCGATACATTGTTGTAGAAAGACATTTAGTTGAGTTTTGTTTGATTGTGATCCTTGTTCAGAAGTGTATATAAACAAGGTATTATTGTTGAAATATTGAGAGATTTATTATATATATTTTCTTTATATCAAGTGAGGGGCGATAAAACTTTAAAAATAAAAAATTAATCATTGTCAACAACATAACTTGATCCTATTTTAAGTATTTCAATAAGTACCCTATATGATTTTAATTTTAATTTAATATATTGTATATTTAGTATACTAGAATAATGTTTGAGGTGATCATTTTTTATTCGGTTATTTTAAATTAAAAATCAAAATGTAATCAACCAATTTTGGTTTGATTTTAATTTGATTATTTTATATTAAAAACTAAAAATTATATTGTTTTTTTGGATTTTCTAATGGGTTGTTTTGTTTGGTTTTTTCTAGTTTGAGTTAGTTTATTTCAACACCAAATCGGTTTAGTTTGGTTTAACTTTTTGATTTTAGGCTTATGAAACCAAAATATAATTAAATTGAATTTTTTAAAAATATTTTAATATATATTTTTTCATTGTTCGATTTTAAGAATATTTTATTTTAATTTTCTCAGTTTAATCAGTTTGTTAATTGTTTTACTCAACCCTAGTGTTTCAATCTTTTATATAAGTTTGGATATATGCTTAGTTATATATATATATATATATATATAGCATTATAAATGTTTTTATAATTTTATAATACTTGAGGTTATTTTATGTTTAAATAAAATATAATATGCAGACTTTCATCATAGAAAACATCTTTTGAAGTAGAATCTAATACCCTTTTAGCCTACTTTTATAAAAATAACCTTTCATTTTCAAAAGTTAAAATACTATTTTTTAAATCTTTATTAGATATTTTTGACATTTTTAATTATTTTACTTAAAAACAAAGTGGTAAAAGCTAGAAAAGTGGAAGCTCTTGATTGGACTTGTTATCAGTTTTTAAAGCAAAGTAATTATAATTAAGAAAAAGTTATCGATATAATGCCAAGTACATAATAATTCGGGCAATTTTGCATCTAGGTGACAGATTTAAATTGACATGTAGTGAAAACGTGTTTTCCTTGATACTTTTCAAAAAAGAGCGAATTAAATGTCTACTTTTATCGATATTTAATGTTTATATATATATATATGAATTATTATTATTATTATTATTATTATTATTTCCTATCATGTTAGGCATGTTAGGAAAGAAAGGTATATTACGGATAATTGTAAACATGGCTTGATTAGCTATTTCCAAGCTCTTTTTTAGGCTAATGATATCAATAAAATTTTATTGATGTTGATATTTAATCTTGTAAGAAAAAAAAAAGATATGTTAGAATTGCCTACTAAGATTTAAAGGATAATAATATCAACATAGATGATATTAATATCAGTATTATTTAATATTTATGTTTTCTTATGAAACATGAAATTAAATAATACTAATAGAGTTATATTAACATTGATATTAATAAAAACTTATTAGCCTATTGAAACTTAGAAACTAATGATAACAACATGGATTATGTAGATATCGACATTACTTAGTATTTTTGTTTTCTTATAAATCATGAAAGTTCATGATATAAACAATGTTATATTGATATTGATAATAATAGAAACTTGGTTAGCCTTCTAAAACTTGCAGACTAATGATATCAACATAGATTCTATTGATATTGACATTACTTAGTGTTTGTGTTTTATTCTAGATGATAGAAGTTAATGGTATCAACATGGTTATGTTGATATCGATATTAATAAAAACTTTATTAACCTACCAGAACTTGGAGGCTAATGATATTAATATGGATTATGTTGATATCGACATTACTTGTTGTTTATATTTTCTTAAAAAAAAAATTGAAAGTTAAGGGTATCAACATGGTTATCTTGATATTGGTATTAATGATAATTTGTTTAGCCTACTGAAATGTTTGGAGGCTAATGATATCAAAATGGAGTATGTAGATATAAGCATTACTTGATTTTTGTGTTTTCTTCTAGATTATGGAAGTTAATGGTATCAAAAATGTTATATTGATATCTGATTAGTATTTAAAAGTGTATTTTTATCAA